AAATAATGACTGATATATGTATTTGGATCTAAACACCTCAACTACATAGATTTCAATACAGCATGTAAGAGAAGACAATGCCTGCTTGCACCCCCTGTTACCCAGAACACAATCACACTTTATGTCTGCGGTAAAATTAAAATGAATCCTACTCCTGTTTATTTGAGCGGATTGGGTCTGTCAATCTAGTGTAACAGAAGACAGCTGACATACGGAGAAATAAAAGAATATGCTGATAACTTTAGTCTATTATCTCTTTCTCCACAAAGATCAATTAACATCTATAACACCTATGCTGCAAATAAAAATCCAGTACAGTAAAAGAAGACTGTTGCTTTAAATGTATGTATATATGTATAGACACATACATAAAAAAGGGCTGGAGTTCCCTTTAAGTAAGAACTCAGGGACCATTTTAGTGTGAGCACTATCCATCCTCAGCAAAAAAAAATACTTTCCTAGGACTCTCCCATTGATCCATACCTCCCCCAACTGTGGCTCATTTGGAGGGACTTTTCTTGATTTGGAATCAAATCTCTCTGTCCCTCTTTCTTTTTCAGTTGTCCCTCTTTTTGGCCTGATGTATATATACAGATATATATTCAAAAGTTCTATTTAACTACCAAAAATTAGGGATGTTCAGATACCAGTGCCGATATTTGGCATTTTCACGAGATCTACCAGGGTTGCAGCTGGGACCTAGCTCTGGTGCTCCACCATTGTCCTGAAATCATTAGTCTGTATGTTTTAGAAAAAAAACTGTCACATGACACTAAACAAAAATGTATCAGTACTTGTATCTGTGAGTACTTGGACAAGTATCAGTACTTGTACTTGAAAAAATGGTATCGGTGCATCCCTTACATATATTCATTAAAATAAATCATACATTATAAAGGATGTACAAATCCCAGGAGCTGTGCGTGCTCCTTACAAATGACAGCTGCCTCCTAACTTTTGAATTTTTCTCTAGTCTAGTCCTGGAGCTGGAAAGGTATCTGTACCGAGTATGGTACTTGGTATCTGAACATTCCTACCAAAATGTTTATTCTGTATTAAAACCTTCATCTTATCTCTTAATTATCTTCTTTGCTATTTTGAGAAGCCAGTATATAGGAAAATGAATGGTGGAAAATAACAATTCTGGGTCTAACCAATCATTTGTGGCATATAAAGTTTTGATGGTCCCCATTACTGGAGGCATGATAGGGTGTGTCCTTTTGCCTAAATACATTGTGCTAGAAGGTGTCCTTTTTTCTCATCTCAGAACATTTGGAGGTATGCTAATCTGCATGTTATCTGCTCTCCCATTGTAAGGAAATTAAGTAAATGGAATACATGATAATATTTAGTCACATTAAGAAGAAAAAAAAATATTGAGAATGTCATTATCAGTTTGGCAGCCACTCCAACTACACTGGTTTAATAATATGACAATGTTTCCTGTGGAAGTTTCCAAAAGCAACAATAGCAAACTTAACCTATTACAATCCTGAATAAATCGGCTTTCATACACTACCTGTGTTTTAGAGACATTTAGAGACATTTGCTTGGCTACAACAGGAGTTCCTCAGCATGTACCGTACACTGCAACTATGATAAGCCTTACTGACGATAACAAGCGGACACCTGTCCATTTAGATCTGGCTGCCCATAGACTTACATTGGGCATCCGATCAGGTCCCCCTAAAAAACTGACTGGCAGGCCTGATCAGGAAGCCTGTGAGAAAGGGGCCTTACAAGGGGATGATGGAATAAGTAGTTTACACAAATAAGCAAACATGTGTTTTATACCAAAATGTATTGAAACCTCAAGCATCCAGTGTACAAAGAGGTTTAATATATACCAATCTAGAAGGCAAGGAGTCAAATTTTTCTCTTCTAAAAAAATCTATGGGATCCACTGTTTTGTTGACGTTTCTGGGTGTGCAATGCCTGGACTCTCCACTGGGCACCATGCTTCTTCCTACCATGTCATAATTGTGTTCTCTAGTGATGTTGGGGCATGACTCCCAAGACAGGCCCAGGAATCCTACACACCCAAAAGTTTCAGATACCAGCAGAGTCTGAATATATGACTCCCCACCCACAGGAAATTTACATGTAAAACAGCCTAATAATTATTATTTTACAGTGCCAACAGGGTTGCTTTTACTTTCAAAATCCCCAAGCCATGTATAACTTAAAAATAAAACTGAAGACAATTCCTAAAAATTGCCTTGATATTTCCTGTATAGCACATCGCTTTCTCCAAGCTTACAGATGGACTTCCATAAACAAATACCACCGTCTGCAGATGTGCAGCATTTTAGATTGTCCATTTAAAGATGAATGTAAGCAATTAGAAACAGTAATCCACTCAATTATTAATTACAATATTATTAAGGGCTTCGGGCCAATGGGCTTCGGGCTTGTGTCGATGGCATCATTTCGAAGCACTTCTTAAATCATTCAGAATTCATTGACAGGTGCTTTTGACCTGCAGTTGAGGTCCTTCTGGCCTGCTTTGCACTCCATAGACTTGTATGGGAATGCAAAACCCATCTGACATAAACAAAAGCCCCTTGAAACAGGCCCTGAAAGAAAATGTACACAGAAGTAAAATCAATCTGTGATTCTATGCTGATATAGGCCCCCTCTGATCTGCTGCATAGCAGTACTCACACTGGGAGAGGGAGGGACTCTAAGTTTATTAGAGCTTTACTGCTTTGCACCATGCAGTCAATTAACATTTTGAATATGCTGAAAGGAGGAGAGAATAGAGTGATTACCCCATCAGTCTTCTCCTGCCCCTTCATTGTCCAATCACAGGGGTAAGACAGGTAACAAAGCAGTATTGTCAAATTCTTTCCTTAAAAGAAGGTAGAATCGGGACGCCCACCTAATGGTGGTTTGTATTGCCTAATTGCTGTGGACAAAAGTAAGGTCACCAACTGGTATTCACGACAGGCAGGACATTATTACAAATGTTTAGGCGGGTAAACCTGTTGATGTACTGTATATGTATTTCAAATGTGTATGTAACAGTTTGCCCACAGTCCAGCTTTTATCTTCTTTTACATGTGATCATTTTTGTTTACCAGCATGTAAACATTACCAGTTCCTTTCAATCCACAGCTGACCTCCAATTAGCCAGAACTCAAGCCTTTCTCTGCATAAGATGACTTTTTCTTTGTACCTCACACCACATTGTTGAACAAGAGAAACGTACTCTGCCCTCTATCTCAAATAGGTTTGTGCACAAGCTTACATGAATTGCTTACATAAAGCTTGCCTTTTTTTCCCCTTCCTCTGCTTTTGTTATTTTAAAAGTGCAGATGCATTTGAGTCATTTTCCCCTTTTGTTTCATATCCTTAAGATCCCGGGCTTCAAAGACACCGTGTCAGCATGCGGTCGATTTATGACTGAACTCTCCAAGAGATGCTGAAGAATTACCTTGTCAATCACCCCAAGGACTCTGAAGGCCTTCAGTTCCTCGGCAGGGCTCCTCAGGTTCCAAGAGGGCCTTGAACTCTCGGCTCCTGGAGGCTAATGGAACATATCAAAGATAAGACATCAATCAGTGTGGTACTTGAAGGAAGGCCGCCTGCTGAAGCAAATGCCAGGCTGAAGGAAACTAAATTTATCATAAATCACAGAGCAGAGATGAAAGATGACGTTTTATATGTCTCTCACTAATTATGAAGTTGCGAGTAAATAAATTAAGAGAATGGAGGGTGGAATAGAGAAAAACAATATCATAAAGAAAGTTGCACTTGAAATGATGAAAAAAAAATCAAAAAGGCTGATGTTAGGTAAAGTGGCTCTCTGTGAAAATGCATGGTGGGATAGAGCTGCATTAACAAGAAGAGCAAGAAGGAAGATCCAGGGAGATTTGTCTGTGTGCTGCTTCTACTTGCTCACTTATTTAGGGCTGACAGACAGCCAAGTTGAAAAAAAAATATATAAAAACACATTATTTTGATATATATAAATTAGGGCTGCAACAACTAATCGAAATAATCGATTATAATCGATTATTGAAAAAGTTGTCAGCTTTTTCAATAATCGATTAATCGGCTTCCGATCAGTTGGCCCTGTTCACAGCTCCACACACGCTGCACGCCACACCTCCTCCCCACCTCACGCTCGTCGCTGCCAGGCCCGACCGCATCCACACCTCCTCACGCTCAGTGCTCGCCCAAATCCACGATCGGCACAGGTGCGCGGGGAGAAGAAGTAAGGAGGAGCAGGCGTGAGGGAATGACAGCCGCCGCCAATAGGCCCGATCTCAGAAACAAGTTGCTGGAAGACTGCTCAGGTAAGCCTGCACTTTCCCACACATGGTGCTCTATAATGTATTGCTGGGATTTGTATTCCTCTATAGCTGATGGTACATTGTGATGTATATTAGATCAGCTATAGAGGAATACAAATCCCAGCAATACATTGTACACTGTATGTATAATGTATTGCTGGGATTTGTTGTATTCCTTTGTAGCTGGTGGTATTCTGCATTGCGCTGTATGGAGGACTACAGAATAATATATTATACAGCGCAATGCGCAATACCACCAGCTATAGACGAGTACAACAAATCCCAGCAATAATACATGTCTGTGATTCACACAACTCTACCTCCCTGCACAGCCAGGTTAACGCAACATTTTTCTATCCCATGGTGTTGTCACTTGGCTGTCCCCAACAGGACAATACAGGCGTGGCAGCACCAAGATGATAAGGTCATGTCTGTGTTCCCCCTCCAGTATGTACGTTTCCTGTGTCAAACAGCATTGGGCAATGACAACAAGCCTGACAATGTTGGTCCTGCCTCTCTTTCTGTCTGTGCCATCTTAAGAGTTCCACTGTTCAGGGGGTTGCAACAAGCTGATAGAAAGAAATGGACGCCCATGTGACAGAGTTGCATGGCACAGGAGAACCCAACAACCGAAGCAGTGCTAGGGGAGCCTACACCCTCACAGCACCATGTTTCTGGCAGACGGTACCCGTGCCCTACTACCAGCTTGCTTCAGATATGAGAACTGATGGTCTCGTAGACAGAAGAGCTAAAACAAAGGGGAAAACCTTTCTCCTTTGAAGAAGGTATATGCACACGTCTCCCAGGAAGCCTTTCTTCAAGTCTACCTACTTGTGTCTCACACTGATGACACAACAATAAAAAAGTTCTCAACTTCTGTCCGTACTAATTGTGATCTGGGCATATTTCAGAGGTGCAGAAGTGAGAATGTGCACAGGTGCAGCAGTAAAGAAAAATAAAATGATGGAAAAAAACAAAAAACAATTGACAACCTGCGCCTGAGAGGAGATGTAAAATCCATCCACACAAAAAGCAGAGCACAACGTTAAAAACACCCCACAGGTTTAGAAGTCAAATATAAAATTAGAGCTCTCAAGGTAAGTAATGACTGACTAGACTGCATAATGAACATGATCAGAGCTGTAGTTTATGGTGTCACAACTGGGTCAACAATCATTTCCCATTAACCGAGAACTTCAGCCGACACTAACACATCAGCTTTGTGGGGAATACATAAAACAAGAGCGCAGTCCGACAGGTGACTTTCCTGAGGACTGGCACTTCGGACATCAGCAAAGGTCATTCGTGCACCTGCAGTCTGACTGAACTCTCTTTCCCCATGGGTGATGGCAAATTACAATGCACCCACCACCAGGCAGAAAGGGAGGTGAGACAAATAAGAAATGTTTTCCTGTGTTAGAAAGAAGGCTTCCTCAGCATCCATATAGATGTGTGTGCTTCCTGCTCATTCCTGCTGAACAACGATTTGTGGGGGCTTGGTGCGAACCCGCGCAAATTCAAAATACTTTTTTTTTTAATGTTTACTAGCTCTCCAAATATGAATGTTGCTTGCCAAAATAGGCTAAACTTCGTTTAGCAGATTAGGGAATGAACTTAAAGTGACATTAAACCCTCAGATTTTTTAACATAAACCATTACTGTAATCCATGGTTGTTTCCCTTCTCTTTGCTGCTCTTCCTTTTAAATCTGTATCTGTTCTCATGCTCTGCAGAACTTCTGTTTTGCAGCAGACTGCCTTGTCTCAGGAATGGATACACGGTGTCTGTGTATACATTTCTATAGGCTTGTCACCTGAGCCAGCACTACATGAAGAGGCCCTGAGCTTAAAAGGGAAGTTCTCCCGAAGCATGAGAAGACATGAGGATTTAAAAGGAAGAGCAGCAAAGAGAAGGGAAACAACCATGGATTACAGTAATGGTTTATGTTAAAAAATCTGAGGGTTTAATGTCACTTTAAAGAGATACAGAAGTGGCAGCACAATGATAAGGTCATGTCTGTGTTCCCCCTCTAGTAAGCATGTTTCCTGTGAGAGACAGACAACACTGAGCAATGGCATAAAAATTCTCCTGACCTCTCTCTCGCTCTCTATGCCTCTCTCCCTCGACACTCCTCTCTCATGACCTCCCTCTCGAAAAAAAATCAGGTCTCCTGTCCTGCCACATGGTAATGTTGCAGTGCTGTGTACATCTCAGGACAGAAAGGAATCTTTTTAGCAGGTAAAACAGCTCCCATATAGGTTTTTCATCTCTGCAAATAGATGTCCACCTGCAGTTCAGCGTTAACTTTTATTTAAGGGGTCTGAGAAGATAGCAGGAAGCACTGCTGTCAATTGTTATTCTCAAGCATTGCACAATTGGCAATGGAATGAAAAGTACTGTACATCCCCCTGCCCTAAGAGGAGCTCTTTCTGGGGTAAGGCTGGGGAATGTACATGCTCTTGAACAGGCATCTCTTCCCTTTGGTTAGCTTAAAGAGGATCTGTACTAGAGAAGCTCTGGCCAAATAAAGACAAGTAGAGGGCAAAGGATTAAACTGGCCATACTCTCGGTCTGAACAAAAAAAAGTAGAACAGATTTCTCCATCAGCACTTACGAGAAACCCGCTGTTTGCTTTGTATTCTGACAATGGACACTTTTAGCTGCAAGCACCGTTTGTTCGAATGTTTTCCAACCGGCTCCTTCGATCTTTTGATCAAGGGATGACGACCGGAAGGGTGCCAACAGCAGCACCCACTGTGGGAATTTTGGCCGGTTCATGAGCGACCAGGGCGACCAATCAGCTTCTCTCTTCAGTTTGCTCAGGTAAGATTTGAAAATGAGACAGAGAAGCCGATTGGTCGCAGTGCAAATCTGCTCCATTTTTGATAAATTCCCCCAAATGTCGTTAAATAAAAAAAATGGAAACAAACAGCACTTAAAAAATGTATAATACTTGTCATTACCAACTCAGTTGGTTCCAATCACTTGCAGAGCTACAGCTAAAATCTTTAGCATCCAACACATCCAAGTGTGTCAGATACCCGAGTCTCCCTTCTGCCTGCTGTTGGCCACCATCCAGGCTGTTATACCACTAGCAGTGACAGGGTAACCACAGCATCAATACTGAAGATTCTAGCTGCAGGAAAGTGAAGATTAGAACGTACACTGTCTTTAATGCTAAGCATTGTACACAAGAGTTTGGAGAAGGCAGGAGACGTGAACAATCTAGGACAACATAGCTCAACACAGCCAGCTTTTAAAGTGATAAAAAAATCAAAACATTTTTAATCTATTTTTACAATGGATGCTGCTCCTTTAATGGATGCTGATGATGTTTCCTGCAGAATCAGCCGGTCCACTGAGCAATGGCCCTATTTTTGTTTTAAAGTGGCTCCTTTCCCTTGCAGGGTCCTATAGAGCCACTCTTGTGTGTGCTAGTAAGCTGTGTGTCTCCACAAACAGGCATTTCAAGGCAAGCCACTCCTCCCTCCTACTCCCTACTCTTCCTTCTTCCTTTTTTCCTTCTACAAGTTAGCAGTTAAGACAGCTGTTGCAGAACGCTCTTTGCCTTGTGATCTTGTACTCAACAGGAAGTTTAGGAAAGCCGAGCTGAGAGAGCTGGAGTCAACAATTTAGAACCATGATGAATGTAAGGGCTTGGACAAAAATGTAAAAGAATACTTTGCTTGGCAATGTATATTTGTTGAATGTGGATTCATTACTGAAAAAAGTTTGACAGTTTAATATTAGTTTAAGACTTCTGAAAGAACGGTGTTCTCCTCATTACACTCCTCCAAATATTTTTTGAAAAACAGCTTGCTCTGAGGGGAGCCACCTTCTAAGGGTGAGAAGCCGCAGATGAATTATCCATAGGATAAAACGAAGCACCACTGGAGGCTTCTGACTGGACATAACCTCAAAATGAGGTATGCAGAATACGTTGCCCAACCTTGTTTGTATCGCTTACTTTGCACAGGGCCATGGGAGATGATGGTACTACATAAATCAATAGTAGTAATCATAAATATCAAAGAAAGCATTTCCAACATCCCCTTAGATGTGAATCTTCCCTTGCTTAGCTTATAACGGATGGCAAATAAAAGCAGAGGGCAAGGCAACTAAATAGTTGTCAAGGATGCCAATTGTCAGATAAAACTGGAAAACATTTCCTGGGTGTCTCAGGTACACGAATCAATGTGATGATCTAGTTTTATGACAAAACAAAGTGCACTTTTTATTTGACATAAATAACTAACCTGAGCAATTCAAACTGAGGATATGATGAAAAATGTATGAGCGGAGGACACCTGCAGTGACAAAAGCATGTTGAACTGATCAGTAGATCTATAGATACCAGCAGCTGAAATTTGTATTTAAAAAAAAAAGTATCCTTTCCTGTAAGAGAAGAAATTGTCTTTGCCTCGACCGGCCAACTGGGCCTTTCTATTGGCCATTTAAAGTGTCTATAAAGCCAACATTTTGTTTTCTTTTTGGAAGTTTTTCAAACCCCTGCCAGGTATTTAATGTCCCTGTTGGGGTAATTCCAACTATTTGTCCTGGCGACCATTGTCAGTGATGGGAAATCCAAATGTTTGTGCTGTCACAAGAAGAGGAGGTGAGGGGAACATTTCCAAAGGGGACAACTGTTTAGGAGGGAACATCCTCTCACATTGGAGGGCTATTTTTTGATAGTCACCTAAATGTGCTCACCATGCTCCCAGTGGTAGATCCAGCGATGCAGTAGACTGTCTACAGTCTTCTGAGGAGCCTGCCACTATACAGCCAATAGCGAGTGTCCATGTCACCGAGACAGACAAACCCCCTCAAGGAAAGATAGAGGATTCGAGAGCCGGATTGTCAAGTAAGAGACCACATATGCAGGTAAATAAATAAATTTTAGGTATGCACCGATACTAGTATTGATATCGGTGCCAATAACGAGTATTTGGGCGAGTACTCATACTTGCCCACATGATCCGATACCTTCCCCCGATACCGAAACTTCCGGTCAGTGGGAGATTTCCCTTGACCGGCAGTGTCGCAACGGAACATGGAGACAGCTTCCTGGCCAATCAGGAAGTCAGACGGCAGGTAATGACTCTCTGACTGGCTTCCTGATTGGTCAAGAAGCCGACTCCATGCCGATTGGCTGGGAAGCCGGCTTTTCGGCAAATCAGCATGGAGCCAGCTTGCCGGCCAATCAGGAAGCCAGGCGGCGGGTAATGACCCACCTCCCAGATTCCTGATTGGCCAGGAAGCCAGCTCCATGCTGTTTGGAGGGGAAGCCGGCCGAACATCCGGCTCAATGACGATTGGCTGGGAAGCCGGCTTCCCTGTCATTAAGCACCAAGCTGGCCAAACAGCATGGAGCCAGCTTCCCAGACAATCAAAAACCCGGGAGGCAGGTAACGGCACGGCATCTGGCTTCCTGATTGCCCAGGAAGCCCGGCTCCATGCTAGCGGAAGTACCGGTATTGCTACTCGGTATCCGCAAGTACCAAAAGATAAATATCGGTACTCGATACTGAAAAAACAGTATCGGAGCATCCCTAATATATTTATAGTTTTAGCTTTATACGCACTCTTATGATATTGAAAGCCTTACTAGAGAAGCTCAAGGTATACCTCTGGATCTACTGATTATTCTGACATGCTTTTTTTTTTTTAACTGCAGGCATCGTCTGCTTATGCATGTACTTATCACATGCTCAGTTTGAGCTGCCCAGGTTCACGGCAGGTTTACTTTAAAAGGACTGTCTTTTTATTCAGAAATACAATTAAGTAATGGGAATTTAACTCACCCCGCTTAGTTTTTCTTCTAAGGTGGGTTTAAGACACAAGCTGGAAATGGTTTCAGCACGCATCAGATACTCCGCTGTCTTCTTCTTTACTGCCTCTCGTCGTGTGGGGCTGGCCTCGCCTGATGAGAGAAGGCATATCATTGCTTACAGTCCAAACAGCAGACCAAAGTTTTATGTAGGCATTCAACATGAATTGTTATCTATACATGTAAACTGTCTCTAATAGGCATATTATAGTGATTTTGGATGTATAAAGGTTATACAGTCTTCAATTAAATTTTTTATTTTTATCAAATCGTTTTTCTTAATAAATAAACATAAAACACAGGGAGCATCCATAACCCAGGATTTCAGGCAGAATCCATAACCCACAAAACAAATAGAGCAAACGAAAACTATTTGCTTTCAGACTCACTCTCCGGTATAAACTTTGGGTAGAGATGTCTTAACAGAAGGGGGGGGGGTCACTGCTCTGACTTATTTCAGATATGTTTTAAAATTGCAGCTTATGTTATTGAGCTCTGTAAAGAACAGGCTTTTTTTAACAGGGTGAAATGTTAATGTGTGAAAATAAGCAGAAATTTCCATCTGTTGGCTGGATATGAAAAATAAGATTTTGTACTTGCTTAAAAAATATTTTTCTTAAGTACCATTGGGGGACACAAGAATAAAGAAATTCTTGGACATATAGGTTATACTATCGCCTGCCTGCAGGAGGTTTGCACACTTGCAAACAAAGAACATTAAGTCAGCCCCCACATCACCTACAACTGTCATGCCTCAGTTTTGTGAGCAAGCAGTACATAAGGCCAAAAACAAAAAGGGGCAGGGCCTGTGTCCCTTAATAGACTTCATGAAAAGACTTTACAGTAAGTACAGAAAACATTTTTTGATTGCCTATTGAGGGACACAGGAATGTAGTAATTCTTGGACATATGGGCCGTCCAAAAGCAATCCAACTGAGGGGTGGGCAACAGCACGGAGAAATCCAGCGGATGTGGAAATCTTACTAGAAATATATCCAAAGATAAGAAAAAAAACTGGTGTTGCAGAGCAGGGCAGGTGGCATCACTAAGGGGAGACTGCTATCTGAAAGAATGATGGTCCTCAACAAGAATGTGAATAACAACAAATCAACCACCATGTTTTCTAAGGTCAAAGCTGAAGGATACCCAAACCTTGACTTCAGGAAAAGATATGCTGGACAAAGTTTGTGTTGACCAAAGACCAGACAGAGAACAGCTGGGGGTTAAAATAACCCACAACCTTTCACTTCAGGGAAGGGAGAACCAGAAAATAACAGCCCTCTCAATAGTAATCTAAAGGGAGAGATGGAAGGAGACATTCAATGTGAAGTAAAAAAAAAAAGGGTACAAGTACAAAGTACCTTTTAAGGGAGAGTTGATGAGATCAACACACCTATGTAAAAGGGAAGGCTAAGTGAGGACATACCGTAATGCAACAGAGGTAGAGGGACCTCAGGATGAGAAGGAGACCTTCCAACTTACACCCCTAGATGCTACAGAGGTGATAGTAACTACACACACTGTCTAATTATATATATATACACACACACATATACATATACACATACACATACATTTTGATATAGAGAAGGAAGGGGATCTTTCTTCCAAAATATATATAGTTCCCATAAGGATCTCTGGACTTATAGTTTCCTACCTACAGTGAACTCTGCAGTCACGTAACAGAGTGCAGTGTCTGTTGATCTGAAGAACAGAATTAACAAGATGGATATCTCCTTGTGCGGAAGGATAAGGAAGCAGGAAACAAGACTTTGAGCCCTGCATGGAAATAGTATGGACACTCTGATACCACCAACGCTGTCCAGAGTAAAGAGGCAGACATCAGTCGGCAACAGGTAAAGTATTCAATTTCCTCTGGAAAACCTCTATTGCAGCTCAGCTTAAAAGACCAACTCGTATAGAGATTCCCTTAGTATTTGGAAAGCTGCCTGTTCCATACAACCAGACCCATGGGCAGAACAATGGATAAATCCAGTTAGAAAAAAATATTTATAAGATGAAGGAAAAGGGACACTTCCCACCCTATCCAGGACCAGCAACCAACATAAAATAGGATCTATTAAATCAAGAACCACTTTTGTGCGCATTGTCCAAAAAGCTGTACAAGCTGAAGACTGGGGTACTTTATCATTAACAGATCCCCTGAATTGATGTGGGCACACAGAGCAGGAATCAGGTGGTTTGGACATGCTACTGTTAACTGTATGAGATTTTTGCCAAATGGCAAATGTACATTCCTTTATGGAAAGATCATCAACTGAAGTGGAGGGCTTCAAACAGTTGCTTAGCTTAAAGGAGAATTATGAGGTGAGTGATTTTCACTCAGCCTCATAATCTGAGCCGACCTATGACAATGAAACAGTCACAGGTCGGCTCAGTAGATCGGGAAGTGAGCGAACACATACCGGCACTCGCTCACTTCTCGATCCTGTGCCAGCAGAGAGCCGTGACAGGGGATGGACTGGATTCCCCCCTCCCCTGTCCGATCCTCCAGCGATGACTGGCGGAACGGACAGGGGAGGGGGGCGGGTACAGCTGGCTCTGCCACTAGATACGCAGAGCCAGCTGTCACTCACGCAGCTCGCTGGATCCAGACATAATTGTCGGGATCCGTTCCGGCTGTGGCGTCTCAGTATACCGCGAGCTGTAGCTCGCGGTATACTGAGCTTTGGGTGACGGGAGGACCCTAGTTTGTGTCCTCCCATTACCCTTAGGAGAACTATGGGGAAAAGCCCTAACCCCATAGTTCTCCTTTAAGAGTCTTGTGTTAGAGGTGTCCCTCTTAAAGGATGTGATCCACTGAAACATGGTTTCACAAATTAAATTTAGTGCCAAGAGTGACAAAGAGTTACTTCAAACTGAGATTTAAATAGGGAGTCCAACTGGCTATCAGGCACCATCAATCAGTGTGATGAGATGTCCATTAAGGAAAGAAAAAGGTAGGGGCATTTGTCAAATAATTCTCTATCAAGAGGAAAATGCTTCTTCAATTCATCAGGAGGAAGACATCGTGCATCTAGGGGATCATTAAAGAGAAAAAACATCTACAGTGTATGAGTATGTTGATAGAAGAAAAGAAAATGGTAAACATATAGTTAGAATTTTCAACAGCTAAAAGTGTCCAACCTTCTAGGACACTATCAAAAAACGTAAGATGGGGGTGAGGTCATGTGGGGGCTGGCTTAATAATTTTTTGTTTGCCAGTGTTCAAACCTTCTGAAGGCAGCAGTATAACCCATATGTCCAAGAATTACTACATTCCTGTGTCCATCAAAGGACGATAAAGAAATATTCACACCTAGCCAAACTCAAGTTCTATATTTTAAAAAACTCAACTCTGTAATAAAGGGCTTCCTTTTCACATAAGGGAATAAAATTATATTGAATGTATGTTATCAGTTGATATATAAGTAGACTTCTTTAATAATGCTGCATTCACAAAACTTTTGAGCACCTGCCCATTATAATCCGGACACATAAATGTCAATTATCAGGAAAAAAAGAAGAAACAAAATGACAACCATCAATAATGTTCAGATATATCTTATTGTTTAAAGCATCCATTAAAAGGCCAACACATTTTGGGGATCTATGGGATCTGCATTCTGAAGGTACCCATTTCCTTACATCTAGATATAAGTAAAGTATTTTTAAGCCCTGACAAAGGAGGTCCCCAAGAACCCCAAACCACATTGGCCTTTGAACTGATACTTTAAACAATAAATTATATCTGAACTTTATTATTTGTTATGGGGCTCCCTTTCTCATATAGGGATCCAAGAGCCTAACAGTGATATTTTGTGGATTTGAGAACTGCCTCACCTAAGATTAATAAAATACTTCCAATGAGGACTTTAAACTCTGGAAAGTGTGATTAAAAAAAAGCATGCAAAGGGCAAAGCACTAGTCACCAGTATTGACTGCGGTCTCCGTTCAGCTGAGCTTTCCCCATTACCGACTTAGCATGCCTTGTTCTGCATTGTGCCATTATCTGAAGCTGGCCAACTTATTAGAGGCAGGACTTTGCCTCCTCATGTCAGAGCTTTCAGCAAGGAGAACAGCGAGCATCATTGTAGCAACATCACCAAATGTAACTTCAAATCTCATAGATTAGCAGTCAGAGGCAGAAGGGTCTTGCATCTCACACTACAGATATACAGCTATGAGGCTGGAGGTACAGGAGCGCACAAGCACATTCAAAAAATACACTGCTATTTTCAGGGAAAAATTCAAGAGAAAAGATGCATTATCAGGGTTACAGCTTAAGCACAATTGGGACTTCTAGATGTGCCCTATAACATAGAAAATGTTCACCTTATTTGGCTTCTGACAAAAGTATCTTCTGTGTGTGCCACTATAAGTGGTAAGGATACAGGACTGTACAGTTCTTCACTGGTATATCGACTAGTGTAAATCTCTATTATTCTGTGAAGTGCTGTGTTAGATTGATCGTCACTACACAAATACTGAATATAAACAGAAAATATAGCACATTCAAATTAAAAAAATACTTGCCAATATATGACTGAAGTCAAGAATGATCTGCTTCACTTAGCCAACAGGACAGCCAGATATAAAATATCTTATTCCTATATATCTTGTACATCTTATCAAGCAAATGGCAGCCATATTTTGAGCAACACATATGACTTGAAGGACATTTTGCATTTACTGAAAACAAGGACAATAAACAGGTGGGAGAAGTTTGTGTGTTCAGCCGTACCACAAACTGTGGTAATTGCAATGATCTGTAAAATGCCCTGATTACATAAGTGTTTTATAATTGAGGAACAACTGAGCAATTCTAAGAACAAATTCTGAGAAACTCCCTGGTGTAGCTTTCTTTGCCCCCTACAAACATGTCTTCTTTGTAAAGAGAGTATCAGAAAAATCCTTCTCTATATTTTCTTCATTCTATAAATTCTTAAAGTGATCCTGTCATTAAACTAAAGCTCCCCAGAAATGCTGCACAAAGGAGATTTTCTTGGCATACAAAGTTAATAGCTGGAACCTTGTGGTGTCTGCTCCTCAAAAATAATTTTACTTTCAAAACCTTAAAAAATGGCTGACAG